GGAGATCCAGCACCTCTTCTGGCCTTCATGGGTACCCGCATACGTGTGTGCATACATACACATGATAAGCACACATACATAAAAAATACTATTTTGTTTGGTTTTTTGAAGTGCTGGGGATTGAACTCAGGAATTTACATGCACTGAGCATTCTACTGAGTTATTCCTCATATTGCACTAGTACATTGATGATTTCTAAATGCTCTTGATGGTATTTCAAATGTGTAGCAAAATATTGCTTGATACATACATAGTTTTTATTCTGTTGGTAAAGTTGCAGTGGACTTTTCTATATCATAACACAAGACACAAAGTAATTGCTAATCATATAGTACATTCATTCTGTGGAACCATTAAAGAGAATGATACATACTGTGCCTTAAAATACATGCAGGAAACTGGTAATAGTGGTTTTTCCATCTGGAGAATGAACTTGCAAATGCATATCTTTTTTCTATAAAAGATGATAATTTTTAAAAAGTTTTAAATGGAAGTTTTTTTCTGTACCATGAATTGTGTGTGATAAACAGAGTCAGTACATTTGACTTTAGCTCAAAGCTTAATTTCATGATCAAGTTTGTTGACTATCCTTTTACTCTTTTTCTGTTCATAATAATGTATTACCTGTTTTGCTACAAACATGGTGTTAATGATATCAACAAATAAAAGTGCAAGTTTAATGGAAACAGGCAGACAAACGGACTAAATAGAGTTGTACCCACTTAGCAGACTATTGAGACTGCTGATGTGATTTCAGCATTTGTGTGCCTTTTGGAGAGTAATGATTGTTAAATAAAAAGTATTTATTGAAAAGAAGAAAATACAATACACATGTTATATTAAGGAAATAAAAAAGGAGAATTTAAATCAACAACCTAAGCTTCCCTAAGGAAACAGAAAAAGAAAATCACGTGATACCCAAAGGAAAGTGAAGGAAAGGTCAGTGAACAAAAGCAGAGGTGCTGCAGGGACGGCTCGGTGGTTACGAGGACCCAAATCTGATTCCCAGCATCCACACCGGGTGGCTCACAATCTCCCGTAACTCCAGCTCCAGGAGATCCAGTGTCCTCTTCTGGGTTCCATGGGTGCCACACACATATGCAGATAGACAGACAGGCAGACACACACACACACATGCATACATGCACGCACATATTTTTTAATTTTCCAAAAGAAATCAATAAAGCTAAAAACATAAAAAATAGTTCAAGAGAAGCAATGAAACCACAAAACAGATCTTTGTAAATTCACTAACAGTTATAAGCTCAAGACAGAATAACCAAGAAACAAAAAGAAAAGAGACAAATTACCAAATATTATAAATGAGAGAGACAATATCATTGCAGACTCCACAGACAATAAAGGCTAATAGAACACCACAAATAGCCGTTGTCATACAACAACATTAAAAACACAAACTAATGCTATCCTTGAGCATGCGCTCAAGTGGCCCTTCAACAAATGTATTAGCAAATAGATCCCTGCCAAATATATGTATAAAATCATATATATGCTACCAAATAGTATATTACATTTTATAATAGATAGATAACATATTACAATCAAATGGAGTTTATCTTGAAAATGCAAGCCCGTTTTAACAATTGAAAATTAATTAAATAATTTACCACATCAACAGACTAAAGAATAAAATGATTATATCAATACATGCAGGAAAAGCATGTCAAAATTCAAAATCCATTAAAAAAAAAACCTCTCCACAAATTATGAATATAAAGAAATGTTCTTAACCTGACAAATTGCACCCATAAAAACAAATTTATACTTACCATCACCACAGACTGTGTCATTTATTGCTACATAACAACTTACTCCAAATCTGTAGTAGCTTAGAACAACAAATATCTCTTTCACAGTCTCTCTGGGTCAGGAATTTGGAACTGGCCTGCTGGGTGGCCTTTGCTTTGGGTCTCACTTGAGGCCACAGCCAAGATGTCAGCTGGAGCTGCACCCATCTAGATCTGAATCCAGAGCATCTGTTTGCAACCTGTCCTCACAAGTCACCCAGAGCAACTGACCCAAGAAAAACAAACAGAAAGATGCTACAATGTCTATATCAGGATGTCAATGTAAGGAATACAATGTCCTACCTGGATGTCAAGTACCACCTTCTCTGCCACATTCTATCTGTTAGAAGCAAACCACTAAGCAGAAGGAGGAAAGGAAAATTTGGACTTAAAATTTTAAAGAGCATAGTATCCAAATGTGTTTGGACATGTTTTAAATGACTGCAAAGATGTGATAGTCTATCTACTCTATGGCTCCAGTTTGACATTATACTAAAGGTTCCAGACAAAGTTAATAGGTCAGTTTAGAAGGAAGAAAAATAGCTCAGCTAGCAGAAAATAGTGTCTACATAAGAAAATATCTCAAGGAAACATGTCATTTCTTGGCCTTTTGGCTAAGATCAAATGCAGAAAAATCTCAAACAACAAAAGCTCTCCTAGCTTTTGTTAATAGTACACACTGGCTTCCTCTGCTTCCTTGGCCGGTTCCTCTGTGCCTCTGCTTCCTGTCATCTTCTCTGTGTGTCTTCTTCACTTCTAAGGACTCATCCTAGAATTCATAACCTTGCTGGATAATCCAGGACAATCTTATTTTAAAACCACTCCTTGTATCAGCAAAGACCGTTTTCTAAAATAGGGTAATATTTCATAAGTTCTAACAATTCAAATAGGGGCATATCTTTTGAAGGATCCTAATTCAGCCCACCTTATTTATCATCACATTAAAACCTGTCCATTTATCATCACCTCTATTCACAAACATCCAAAACTACAAACAACGCAAATGCCCTTCAGTGAGTCAACAGATAAATGAGCCCTGGTTCACCTCTACAATGTTTTACTACCTGGAAATTCAAAGAAATAAACTAGTGATGTATGCGATGACATGGGAAGGTCTCAGATGCTTTCTGCGAAGGAAAAGAAGTCAGACTGAAGACTGCAGACGGACTCCACTGACCTGATATTCTGGAGGGGTCGAGCCCACAGGGATGGAGAACAGAATGTTGTTAGCAGAGACAGGAGGCTGAAGGAGCAGCTGACTGCAGAGGGGAGCAAACAGGAGGATCTGCGGAGTGATAGAATTACTTTATGTCCTTACTGTGCTGATTACATGGCGCAAAAGATTTGCTCCCAGGACTGCACACCAAAAAGAATGAACTTTTCAATATGCAAATTTAAAATTACACATCTGAAATGAGATCCTGGGGCTGGAGCTCTGCGAGCCATCGTTCCTTTTGCTGGCTAGACCCCTTTCAGCTTTTTCTCAATTGGCCTTCCAAATATCAGAAGATGAGAACAGAAGGACCTGGCTCCTAATTTTGATTTCTGTTTCCTTCACCATGACAGTTAATTCACTCTGACAACGAAGTTGCTTCTAATTTGTAACTTGGTTTAGTTTTTCCATATTCCTGGAATATCCGTGCTGTATGTCCTTTCCTGCCCCACCCAAGGGACACGTGCATGTGCACTCTTAGAAGAGCTTTACCGAACCTCAGCACCACCCAAACGATACTTGAATCTGCGGAGTTCCTTTCCCAGTGACCTGAGAACCCTCCTTCAAGTGTCCCAGTTCTCAGTCCTCTGGCCAGGTAGATGGTAACCGTTCCCCGTGTTTCTACTTTAGCACTTCATGCTTTCTGTGGCCTTTTATGCACTCTAACACTTATTTAGTCCACTCTTCTATTAAATATTTTCTGTTAAAATGACTTCTGTAATTTGTTTTCCCAACTAGAACCTGACTAACATAACTGCAAAGCCTTCCCTGGGCCCAACATGATCTGTCCTCCCCACTCCATCACTGGCCTTATCTACTTCCACAGGACTCACTCTAGATCTGAGGCCAGTTCACGGAAACCTCACCATAGCAATGCGGTCGTCAGGATCAGGACTGGAGAAAACTACTGAACATGGCCTCCAGCCAATGAATTGCAAGAGGAAAATAGATGGAGAGGAGCCTCTACATGAAACAGCCTTGAGCTACCAACCAGAGTGATGGGGAGATTCAGTATTCGCCAATATTTTGCATTTATACATAGGTATGAAGAATTGGAGGATTTAAATCATGACTGCAGGTGTGATAGTAAAGAATTAAGAAATTGTGATACATGTACTTATTTTAGTTGTTAAATGGGATTTGGGTTGTGTTTTAAAGTCTTCCTATTTAGAAATACATATTTCTATAACACCGTACTGGAGGTAGGTGAGCAGACAGTCTGCAGACGTAGCAACAGTGATCATTGGTCTTCTTGAAGCCAAGTAGGAAATACAAAGAATTCATTACAGTATATAAAGATTAGGACATTATATATTCAAATTTTCTTTGCATTTCCAGCCTCCAAAATCTAAGGGCCAACGATGTCAGGCAGGAAAACCAAAGATTGGCTCACATGTCTCTGGAAGATATCAGAAACTATTGTTTAAAACTTAACGTATGGTGGTTTCAACTCTGGGTTCTGAAAACCATCCAGGTCTGCCACAGTTACTGATCTGACCTTGGACTTCACTTCCCATGTCTTTAGCTCCTCAGATAGGAGTATCTTCCTACAGTTTGGCCGTGAAGATTAAATCAATTCACAGGTAGAAAGCAATGTCTTAGAACAGTAAATCATAGCCAGCACTTAAAACATCCATTATTGGGGCTGGAGAGAGAGCTCCCAGGTGAAGAGCGCTGGGTGCTCTGGCAGAGGACCCGGCTTTGGTTCCCAGCACCCACATGGCAATTAACAACTAGCCGTAACTCCAGTTCCAGGGCATCTGAAACCCTCTTCTGACCTCCACAGGCATTGCACGACACAGATACACTTACATACATGCAGGCAATACACTCATACACATAAAATAAAAATCATAAATAAAACTATTAAAAATATTATTACTATAATTTCACGGGAAAATAGATTGAAATGGACCCTCATGGACTGGAAACAAATGTATCCAAAATATGTTTTTAATCTTGATGAAGTTCACAAATGGCACAATTTTGACATTTCCTTAAACAAATTGTACAATCATGTTCGGAGACATCAAGGCACAGCATCACTATAACCATGTGTCCCCAGAGGCCACAATAGGCAGTGATTTCACATCTCCCTAAGGTTCAGCAGAGTTGGCGCTCAGAGAACCCGTTTGGTTTGCTGCTAGGTAAGCCAATGGGAGACGCCATCACATCGACTGGCCACAGACTCTGTGAAAATGAGGCACAGCAAATATGGAACTAGCTCATTTGCATTCAGGCTCATTCCTTTCAAGTGACAAAGGTGCTTCTGTTTCAGGATCTAGGAGACAAACATATGTATCTTCTCACTGAGATGTCAACAGAAATTAATAGAAGTGGTGAGCTCAGCTTCGTGGCGACCTGAAATATGAAAGAGAAAATCAAAAGACGAGAAAAGGGAGAAAGAAGAGGGTGAAGAGGAAGGCAGGAGAAGGCCAAGTGATCACGATTATCCCTAGAACAACTCTAATTTACGTAAATGGTTCCTCCACTAGATAGCTTTGATGAATTAGGACTATGAGACTTAAGGAGGCTTGTAAGGTAAATGAAGACAAAAATAAATCAACTGTGCTCATTAATACTGTTAGTGGTGCCAGGTGTGGTGGTGCACCCTGCAACCTCAGCACTTGGGAAGTGGAATCTGGAATCCCAGCACAGCAGGTATTTAATAAACAAATGGGAAAGAGGGAGGGAAGGAGAAGGGGAAGGAAACAATCCAAAGCCAGTCTGTATCTTGAGTTGGAAGCCAGCCCAGGCTACTTGAGATCTTGTCTCAAAAGCAAAACAAAACAAACAAAAGCCACAAAGAACAGATACCGGTAATGGCATGCTTCCAGCCCTGTGATCTGAACTGGGGAACGCCAACCCTTCTGAACCTGGGATCATATGTGACGGCCTGCCCTACTAAGGTCTGCAGCATCTCCACTTTCCAAATCCAGCAAGCATTTTTCTTCTCAGCAGCAAGGTGCCACATCTCTGTAACTCTCATCTTTCTGATTTCAATTTCAAACTCAGTTTGAAAAGAAATTCACTACCACAAGAGGAAGAATTAACATTCAGAGGGAAGGGGCCAAAAGGATCTCCCATAGTCATAATGTGGATCTTAGCTCTCAAATCCTTCCTCCCCCAGCCCACAGCACAAGGCAGTCACCTTGTTCCTGGAGCCAGTAGCTGTTCAGGCTTGAAGGTCCCTGCGGCGCCGGCCAAAAGCTTTGGAGCCCACGTTGGTGGGCACAAAGTTGTCCTTCACCATGCCCCCAGATCTGCTCAGCAAGCCTGCCAGCCGGTGGGTCACACAGGTGGCAGTGTTGCAGGATCTCTTCTGGGCAGTGAGGCTGATAGGCAGAGTGGAGAGAGAAGAGGCCTGTCAGTGAGGGCTGGGGTGGTGCTTGCCCTGTGGGAAGTCCATAAAGAGAACTGCATCCCTTCCATACACCACTTAACAGTAAGTGTTTCTCCTAAGTACAATTATCAAAGCTGTTAGGGGAAATGGCCTGGCGGATTTGCCAGAAGCTCTGCCTGAAAAACATCACCCCAAAAGAAAATCCCTACCTAGAAGAAGGCAGGATTTGCAGCACCTCTCCCAGACGTGCTCACCTGCTCCTTGGCATGCTGCTTGCTGTGTTAGCTGCGTCATAGAAATGGCCCACCAAACCCTGTGCCCAACTGCCCTGAAGCTAAAGCTAGTTCCCAGGCCCTGGCCACTCACAAACTTCAGATGTGGACCAAAGCAATGGTCTTCACAATTTAGATCCTTCTAGAAAAAACAGGTTTAGCAAATGGTGAAATGTAAGGGATGTGCTTATTTCAGAAGCGAGAACTGAACCATTCTCCAATGGTTCCAGGTTCCCTCACCTTCACTCTTACCTCAAATATCATCTATGAGTTCTTCTCTCTCCCTTTCTTCCCTGAGGTCACTAATGTTTTCAATCATACTCAAAGCTGCCATAGCCAGCTTGCAGAGCAATGAGAGAGGAATCAACATGCAATGAGTTCAAAAAGAGCAAGAAAGGAAACCAGGAAGAACTGGGAAGGGTTCAGTTGGCATCCTGGGACACTTCAAACTGAAGGCATAGTCCCTCTGCAAGCAACCTGCTCCATGTCTTTTCTTAGCAGGTGTTTCATGCCTGGAGTCCATGCCGAGAATGCAGGAAAGTTGCTCAGATCCTGTGCATATGTGCCCAGCACTCAGGAACTCAGATTCCTGCACTGTTTAGATCTGGGACTGTCCAGGCTGCAGGGAAAAGACATGCCAGACAGTACCATGCACCAGTGGCTGCCCTTGTGGGCAGTCAACAGGTTCGACCAGGCAGGGGGACTAGGAGTTGGGGCAGGAAGTGGTTGGAGGGCAGCTCACACATGCTCCACTGGGAAGGCTCAGAGGTGCGGTGAGCCAGGACAGTGTGGGAAGGGCACTGGGAAAGGGTGACTTTCTGGCATTCCACATGCTGTTCATTCCTTCATGCTCCACGGGGGGCTTCTGAGGGTGGATGCGGGGCAGCACATGCTTCTCCCAAGGCAGTGCTGGAGCCAGGCCAGGACTGGTCTGTTTCTAGGTGCAGGGTACACAGAGAGCTGAACTAGAGAGAGAGGTGCTCTCACTGGTCCTGTGACAACATGCACACACCTCCACAGAAACTCAGACCTACCTCAGACACTGTGCACCCTGTCCCAGACCCCTCCTGCCCTTACAACTTCCCCTTACAAAGGTGAAATGAAGGCTCCTTGCAAATGTGAAAGAATGACAAAGACAGGTGAAATTCCCCAAACTTCTCAAACTGGTCCATACTTACCAGTCCTAACTCACCCAGTGCTGGGACATCTCTCCATCATTGTAAGACCAACTAACACCAGGCGAGCCTACATCTCATGTCTTTTCCCAATAATTTTCAGAAAGGTTTCAACCTGTCTAACGAGTGTGAGTCCCTCTGGTGGCACAAGGACATCTGAGAACAGCCAGGCCCAGGTCCTAGTGAACAAGGGTGGCCTGCTGGAGTGCAAGGCCAGTGTGTCTTTCTCCCTCTCTGGGATAGGTCCTCTTGAGTATTTGGGGCCAGGTGAGGAGCCTTACCTGGAGTCCTCAGCCTCCTGCTCCTCCTGCTCCAGCTCCCTGGCCTTCATCTGCAGGTAGTCCTGCACCAGTGCAGCCAGCAGGAGACGCGCTTCCTCCTCACTGAGGGTGGCCAGGTCTGGGCTGTTCTCCAAGGTTGACCTGTGGAGGGGAAGCAACCAGTGTAGTCTCTGATGCCCAGCCTGCCTCCTCTCCACATGCAGCCAAGCTTCCTGGTCCCTTCTTCTTCCCATAGGGATGTAAGTGGCTTCCCAATGGACAGGTCATGAGGCCAATGCCCACCTGAGGGCGCTGACACATCAATAACAAAGTGGGGCTCTGGAGTTCTAGAGCTGTCCCAGCCCAGGAGCCAGCTGGAGGAGTGCCAAGATGCACTCCCCATTCAGGCTGATTACCTGAAAGGCACTGCCGGAAGGCTGTGGGCCAGGCACAGGATCCACACGCTGAGAACCAGGATGGGAGAGAACTTGAGGAAGCCCATGATGCCTCTCTGTAAAAGGAGAAGGAAGTTCCACCAGGCAGCAAGATTACAGACCTCTCTATCCCAGTCCTGCCCCTGCCACAACCACAGTGACAGTTTTCTCCACCTCCGGTGACCCTGTTTCTTTGTTTGCCTTAAGGACTGTTGGGGGTCTCTAAAGATGTAGTGAGTGGCTCAATAGAACAGAGACCGGTGGGGGATGGGTAGATTTGGACTAATTTTCCGTGCTGTGGTAGGACAGGAAGAAGCCATAGGCAGAGAGAGAGAGAGAGAGAGAGAGAGAGAGAGAGAGAGAGAGAGACGCATGCCTGCACCCCTGCACACATCCCTTTTGCTCGGATCCATGCAGAAACCGAGAGCAAGCCAGACCTGTCCTGATCTAGACTTGCTGTCCCATTGCTCTGCTCTTCTCACTGGCTGAGATTTTTAGAACCATCTTTTCTGAGGCAGTTGCCCCAGGGAGAGGCTGGGAGGGTAGACTGGACAGGAGAGCTTCTTTCACTCTGAAGATTGTGGGGACGTTTTAAAGTGCCAATTAAACTATCTCAGAATCACAGAAGTGCACTTTAGTGGCAATCCTGGACGCCCACTCTCTGCGGTGCAACAGCACCCCCAGATGCCCGTGGGACACAGAGAGCGCAGCCACTCCCTGCCCAAACTTGGGGAGGACCCTGCACCAAACCCTGCTGCAGCATCGCAGCAACAGATACACCTAGGTGGGCCCTCCCAGCTCCCAGCACCACTGCAGAGTCCCACTCTCTCTAGTTAAGAGAAAATATCAGGACAGCACTCCCTGCCAGGTCCACCAGACGCAGGTAGGCGAAAATGCTGGAGGAGAGGTGGAGAGGCAGGCAGCCGCAGCCAAGGGAGCAGAGGTGGGCGTGGTGGTTTGCTCCTGTAATCCCAAAGCTCAGAAGGCAGAGACAGGAGGATTGCCACGAGTTCAAGGCCAGCCAGGGCTACAGTGCAAGACACTGTCTTTAAAAAAAGAAAGAAGGAAAAAAGTAGACAAACTTAGGGAAAGTGAGCCCAGTGAGACACGAAGTTCCTTACCTGGTGACGCGAGTGTGGCACAGCAAGAGCGACTAGTCCACTCGAGAAGATCACACTCCCGCTGTGGACGCCTTGTCCCCAGAGCCCTGGGCTCTTATTCCACTGAGCTTGGCAGGGGGGTCTGCACCAGATCTCTCCACCAATCAGAAAACCTACCGAGCGCGGTTGGATGGCGTCATAGCTCGAGCTATCCATTCGCGCGCAGGAGGGAGGGGACAGTCCACTCCCGCTGTCTTTGACTTGAGGTCATTGCTGAGGAGCAGAGCGGGGGAGGGGGAGGCCTGAGAGAGGGTGGATTCATCTAAAGTTTGCAGGCAAATTGGTGAGTTTGGCGTCGCGACCTCTTTGATGCCTGAAATGGAGCTTGATGTCTTGTGCTGCCCACTCCAATGGGGGACCTGAGTCTCGCCGCCTGGACCCCCAGGCAAGGTGAATATCGGTCCTGGGTTCTAAAAGGACTTCAGCAGGTACAGTCAGGAGGATGAGTGTCCGGGAAAGAAGAGGGTCCCAGAAGCCACTAGGGTACTCCTAGAGTGACCACACCCCCACCCCAACCCCCCTTGGGAGCGCCCTGGCCCTAGGCCCTCAAAATGTTTCACTTCCAGTCCTTAGCCCTGCTCCTCTAAGAGTGGCAGGAAATGGAGAGTGTTGGGGATCCGTTAAGCTGACAGCCTGCACAGAGAGTTCCGCATCTGTCTCCCCCACCGGATCCAGTAAATACTGCCCCGTGGTTTCTGCATTCTGCATCCCAGTCCTGGACCCCATATTGCCGAACCAGTGTCGGCTAACGCTGCTGCCCTGAGCCCTTGATGGCTGTGCTAAGATGCAGGCTGAAACCACTGGTGCTGAAGTATCCCTTTCCTCCCCCTCCCCGGTACCTCCGCCCCACTGTTCCACTTCGCTGCATCCCTTGAGAGCTGAGTGGCCGAGGGGTCCCGCACCCACCACTCCAGCAGGCGCTGCAACCCACTGTGCGGACTTTCTCACTCGCCAAACTGCCAGTTACACACCCTGGAGTACCTGGATCCTCGCCTAGGACTGCCGGCTTGACTGGAAGACACGGCCTCCCCTGCCTCCTGCAAGGCTACAAAACAACCTAAGTTTCTACTCTCGGAAACAGGCGAGTTGGCTGCGCACACCAGCATCTGCAGTTTGTCATTCTGCACCAAACACGCACATCAATAAACACACATCCTCGCGAGACATCTCAGCATCTGCCCTTCTCCTAAGAAAAGCCCAGTTCTTGGAGCCCTCGCTGCCCCTCTCCCTGTTTCCGGGTGAGGGGAGAAGATCCACCCCGTGGCCCCAAGGGACTCGGAAAGAGGAGCGCCACCCACTCCCAAGGCGCCGACCTGGCTCTGCATCCCTAATTCCGGGGACTCCAGATATGCACCAAACAGCTCTGGAGACTCCAGGAGGAGATCTGAAAGGCTAGACCCCAGAGAAACACTGGAAGAGGGATGGGCTTAAAAGGAGGCTGAAAGAAACTGGTGCTCGGTTTCTGGGAGTCAGAAAAAAATTCAAGGAATATCTGCCTACATGTCAGTCATTTTTCTGTGTCAAGTTTCAGTTGATGGGGCAAGGACAGGTTGACCTCTAAGGAGATGACAGTAACCAGGTAACTCCTCCCTGCCTACCATCCTGGTACTCAGGGCAATAAGACAGAATGGGCCTCAGTGGCACTGTACTCTGCCCCCAGGAACATGTAGGACCTGGCTCAAAGTTGCAGAAGGGCTTTCAGATGCCACCTGTGGCGTGATGCTCTAAGTGATTCTCTGCCAAAGGAAGGTCTCTGCATTCAGATCCATCAGCTCACACTTCTGGTTGTAAGGAGAATCACCAGAAGATCTTTATCTGAAGGCCTTCCTACCAAAGGCCTGCAAATAAGGACACAGATGTGTCTCCCTCTCCCAAATTTTGGCCCTGGAGAGTGACTGCTGACTGGAAAGGCAAAGTTGAGAGTCACTCCCCACCAGAGCCCCCTGCCCCCGTGCCACCATTTCCCACACTATTGTCACTGTCTTTGTGGTCTGGCAAAGTTGGTTCAGCAGCTCTGGGCACATCATTATCCACAGGGCTCTAGACCAGCATGCCAGAAGAGACTGGATGAAGACCCCCAGCTCTCCAGCATCACCCAGTTACCAATAGAATTGGGGAGGGGGCGCACCAGGAGTCCTAATTGGTGTCTCCACTCTTGAGAAGCTCTCTAAATGTCTTCATTTGGGGGAACATTTAGCCTGGGACATTAGGAGGCCCACACAATCTGCAAAGCCCAGGTCTTCAACACTGGGAGTTCACAAGTTTTAGAAGTGTTGGCACAGAGGCAAGGAGGAGCACAGTCCCCAGCTATGTACCTGCTCTACACACAAGCCAGGTGGCCCACAGACTAGCACTGGGCTTTTGACCAGGGCGGAGTGTATGGTAGTTTCTGTAAAGGCTGCCAACACATCACTGACATCTGACAAGAATAAGTATAGCAAGTTCAGCAAGTTGGTTGTCTTCTTGGGAGCCCTGTGGGACCAGTTATTTTATCTCTGTCAACCAGGATTATTTGACTTCGGTTTTGGGGTATCCCCCCCACTCCAGAGTTTTCACCTTGTGAATGATGCATAGTATGTTCACAGCAAATGCTAGTGACTCCAGAGTGAGGAAAACAGTGAGGGAATGAGCATGTCTACAGGGTCATTAGCCTAGAGTCAGACAATAAATTCACAGTCACGTGAAGCCAAACTGTAGAACCAATTTAGAACTATTAGGTGGACGTGCATGTTGCTGATCCAAAGACACAACTCTTTTTATTTAACGAAGGACAGGTGCCCTGGTGAAAACTTTCTGGAGTCTAATGCCAGAGGAAGCACTGAAGGTCTCTCCTTAGTAGAGTCCAACAGCTAAAAAGCAAAACAAGGTGATTATTCTCAGCCCATCCTTGAATTCTATTAGTGAGTGAAAGAGAAGAAAAGTCAATAAGATAATTTGCCTACTAAATTGGTAAAATTGCATCTTGATTTCCCTGGAACTGGTCTGAACTCCAAGCCATCGCCCATCAACCTAACTAACATAAAGATTAGCATAGAATAGTTTCCTAGGAAGATATTTAGCTTTTAAATAATCTCTTGAACATTTTGATACTCAGCTTAGGTATTTATAAATCATGACTTTTAAACTTTGAAAAGGCTTGTCTTGTCAACCTGATGGAATTTAGAATCTCCATGAAAGCAAATTCCTGAGAATACCAATGAGGAATTTTCTAGATTAGGGTAACTGAGGAGGGAAGACCCATCATAAATGTGGGTGGCATCATTTCAAGGGGTTCAGGTCCCTAAATACAGGAAGAGAAGGATGCAGCACAGCACAAGCACTCATCTCTTTCTGCTGCCTGACTGTGTGTGTGCCCAGCTATCTCAGACTTCTGCTGCCACCCTAACCCCTCCACAATGGAAATATAAACCAGAATGAATCCTCTTCTCCTAAGTTGCTTTTTGTTAGGTATTTTTCACAGCAATGGGAAAAGTAACTAATACAGTGTCATAACTAGCTATTTTCTTCATGTATTTCCTAGAATAAACATTTCATAGCAGGTTTCTTTTGCTCACTGTATATTTATTGAGGCCCCACTATGTGCAGAGCATTGTTTCAGACAGTGAGAATTCATAGTAAAATACGAGAAAAACTCTTGTCGTCCTGGTGTTTGTGATGGGCTGAGCATACTTTTTGTGCAGCCCCCTTTCCTCCATATAAAATAGACCCTATCCTGATTATATGATCTCACTACAGTAATACTGAATGTCACATGGGTATTCAAGGTGGACATTACTGAGACATATATATTATACCTCACTTGGCCAGTGCAGTCCGATTGCCTTTCTTAGCATCTTTGTTTGACTTGGCCAGTTCTTCTGTCCATGTGCCTGTTTCTTCCTCTGTGTATCTCTAGCTTATTCCTTTCCCTTGGGTCCCATCCCTTCCTCCTTGATCTACTCCTTCACCATGATGGAGCGCATTCACTATTATGTGTAGCTGATGGCTTTTCTGGGAAGAACTCTAGACTGGAAATCATTTTTACTACACATTTCAAACTTTTCCCCTGTCTTCTACTTTCATGCAGCTCTTTTCTTATTGCTGCTGTTCCTGGCAATGTTACAGGACCACCACCCCCTTCTCACCAGTGTTCTCAAATGTCAGTATGATGTGCCTTGGTGGGGACCATCTTTACTTATTGTCCGAGTACTTGGGGAATATTTACAATCTGAAGTTTCATGTCCACCCGTAGGAAATGTTCTTGCTTTCTTTGGTAGTTTCCTCCTTCTCTTCCTCCTCCCCTTACTCCCTCTCCCCAATTTTGTTGCTAAAATTTATGTTTTAAAAATCTTTTGATCATATTTTTAATTTTCAAAAGCTTTTATTCCCTTAATATTCCCTTTTATAGTCTCTTTTTTAAAAAATACCTGCACCATCTCCTAGCTCTCTGAGGCTACTGAAAGTAAATTATTTGTTCTTTTCTTTATTTATTAGTGGCGACTCTTCATTTCTGATCCTCCTTGGCTGCTGATTTACATGTAAGAGGGAGGCAGCGGAGCACTAACCAGTGAGGTGGGAGAGTCTGCACATGCGCTTCACTGTGGAGTGGGCTGATGGAATTGACTTCACCATGTTAATGAAGAGACCCAAACCATCAGCTGCTGGGAGTCTTCTGTTTTGACTTCTGGATCTCCTAAGTGGAGTCCTCCAATCACCTGCATGGCTCAGCAGAATGGGAAGGTAGTTGAGAGTCCGCTATTTGTTCTGGTAATCCTTCAGTCATTTCTAGGACTCAGGAGAAATTAGAAAAAATCCAGAGTCTAACTGTCCCCTCTTTAAAGACTTGCAATTTACTCCTACTTTCTGTCCATCTTGTAACTGTACCAAGAGAGGTAGGTAGCCTAATTCCCCAAGCCTTGATCTTTTCTAGGGTGCTTAACGTCTTCAAAACTATGAGAGTTAGCCTTCAGGGAGGAGGCTTCCAGGCCAGTTCCAGGTCCATTGCTCCAAATCCTGCCCGAAGTATGTCTTGTCTTCAGCAATAGGGTCTTTTTCGAT